GTGAGGGCTTGATCCGAAGTAGAGAAGGGGAGGCAGTTTGGGGGCATTTGCCCTGGCTGAGCTAGGATCTCTGGGTGAGGCAGGCCCAGCTTCATGCCATGGGGTTTCTGAGAGCAGCAGGGAGACATTAGTTGCTTGGGGAGAAGGGGGCCTAAAGAGAATCTGCTTGGTACCAGGTGCACCTGTAGGGGATGAAAAGGGTGGTGGGGAGGGGACCCCGTTTTTTTTTTTTTTTTAATAAATTCTCTATATAGCTCACACTCCTTTTTAAAATATAAATATTTATATATGTATATTATATGATTATAAAGATAAAACTTACTCTAGAAAATACAGAAGAGAAAATAGCGGTAAATCTATAATACCACCTGGGATAACCACTATTCTATCTTGGTCTATTTTCCCCCAGGAATATATGTACAGGAGATATATATATATATATCTCCAGTAACTTTTAAAAAGTTTAAAAAAAAACAGACACCTAAGTCAAGGCCATGTTACCATGTTCTTAAATTGTCGTACACTTGATTTTTTTGTTGGCAGTCACGTAGAATGTTGTGCAAATGTGTCAAAATTTAACTGTTTCACAATTTTTGTAATATAAATAGCATTGCGAAGAACACTCCTGTATATAATAAACCACCTCTCTAAAGATCTCAGTATTTCAATAGATTGTATAATTCTAATTACAAGGTCAAAGTATACGCAGACATTTTTAAGACTTGGCCGGTGTGGTTGAGTTGCCCTCTGGATAGACCCCCAATGGACACTTCTCCCCGCAGCTGAGGGAGTGGCTTTCGTCACAGCTGGCAAAAGTTAGTGGATTATCGTCCACAGTTTAATAGGTGAACAAAGGTGTGCCGTTGTTTTAAGTCACATTTATTCAGTTACAGCACTGAATGTTTTTTCATATGTATTTTTTCCATTTATATGATTCTGTGAGTTGTCTGTTCTTATCTTTTGCTTATTTTTCCAAGGGGATGTTGGTTTCTCAATGGGTTTTATTAACTGTTTCTATGTTTCAAATATTTTCTAGCTAGCCTTTATTGTATTTTCTTTTCCAGTTATCAATCTCCTTTGAATTCTGTTTATGTTAAGCATTTTCGTTTTTTAATTTTTAATTTTCATGGGTATGTAAAGGTATATATTCATGGGGTATGGAGATATTTTGACACAGGCATACAATGTGTAGTCATCACATCAGGAGAAATTGGATATCATCACCTCAAGTATTTATCCTTTGTTACAAACAATCCAGTTATACTCTTTTAGTTATCTTAAAATGTGAAATTAAGTTATTATTGACTACAGTCACCCTGTTGTGCTATCAAATACTGGATCTTATTCATTCTTTCTATTTTTATGCCCATTAACCATCCCCATTTCCCCGATGCCATCCCTCAGTAACCTTTACAGTATAAGTTTTGATAAGCAGAAATTATTTTAAGTCATTAAAACTACCCATCTTTTAATCATTTCTTCAGTTCCATTATGATTAGACTGTCATAGCCCATCCTTAGATCTATCAACTTTTTAAAATGATCTTTAATGATTTTATATGAACATTACCTCTACACTCTGTTTTGTTCTTTTGGTGCTATAAGTCAAGACTCTAGCTGATCATCCCCTCATTGTCATTTATTGAGGAACCTGTTCTTTATTCATTGATCTGTGATGATTTCCCAATCATATAGTCAACTCAAGTAAGTGAGCCTATTTTTGGGCTTTTTATGTTGTTCCACTGGTCTGTTAATTTTCATGAAAATACCAGACCATCCATTTTGTCACTGCTTTCATACTGGCTTGTTTTTATATGTGATACCTAGGTATCAGATATTTTTACCTAGGTATCTGTAATTTACCAGATACCTAGGTAAATTACAGTTATAAAATATTAGAACCATGAGCAGGGAAACTGAAGCTCAGCAATCTAAGTGAGTGACTTGCTTGACACCAATTGTCACATCTCCTTAGATTAATTTGTCATAATATATTAAATATTTAAAAGGCTCTTGAATTAATGGAAGAGCATCATTATCAGCAGGATCCTTACTGGTAACTTGTCAGGCTATCTAACTATTGGACTTTTTAAAATATTATAGTTATGAGGAACACTATTTTGATATATAATAAATATTTATTTGGTCTTTGGTTTCCCAGCACTCTGCTGATGAGGTCACTGATGGCAGTGATCTTCTGGGTAGCCTTGTGAACCAGGCTTGTTGCCAAGGGAACCAACCATGTGATTAGAGGGTTGAGACCCTCAGCCCCAACCCCTGACCTCACGGGAGGGGAGAGGGGCTGAAGCTTGAGTTGATCACTGGTGGCTCATGATCTACAACCATGCCTCCATAGAAACCCAGGGAGAGGGTTCAGAGGGCATCCAGGTTACATCCACGCTGGGAGGGTTGTGCATCCCACCTCCATGGGGACAGAAGCTCCTTCACTCAGGACCCTTCTGAACCTCGCTCTGTGTATCTCTTCACCTGTCTGTTCATTTGTATCCTTTAAAAGATCCTTTTTCGTAAATTGACAGTAGTAAGTAAAGGGTTTGCCTTAGTTTGTGAGTCACTCTAGCAGAATGAACCCTAGGAAGCAGTTGTGGGACTCCTCAATTTATAGCTGGTTGGTCAGAAGTTCTATTACTGCTGTTCTTGTAATTTTGGGAAGCTGTAATAGATAATGGATGGGCTAAATAGAGTAGAAATGCTTTGAAAAAGATTACAACTTTGAGATCGGTTCAGAAGGTGGTGGATATTTTAGTATGAAGGATAAATAGGCTATACATGGACTCGGCGCTTCAGCTAATGAGACAGACCCATTCATGGGCACCCCATGGCTGTCCTGGGGTGCTCACTGCATCGGTCCCAGCAGGTCCCCCCACCTTACTGCTGCTATGGCAGTGGAGGGAATTTTCCAGATTAATTTTAATTTGCCAAATGTCTATATATGTCAAAGTTCAGACATTAAGAGGAAAAATTAAAGCCCTACCCTTTTTTGTGGACACACCTCAATCTCAGTTTCTTCCCCAGAGGTAACTACTGTTCCCGTTTAGTGCATATTCTTTTACAGTGCTCATTTTTTTGCAATTTGCTCATTTATCTTTAGTATGTCCCAGAGATATCTTCATGTTAGTGCATGCAGATCTGCCTCATCTTTTTAAATGTGCCACAATTTTCCATCTTGTGACTATACCTCAGTTCATTTAACCATCTGTTTATGGGCTAGTATGTTCCTTCCACTTTTTCCTACTACAAACAGTGGTTCAGTGAACATCCTTGCATGTACTTCTTCGTGCAGAATGTGTTTCTCTAGAGCCGTGGTTCTCAAACATTTTGGTGTTAGGACCCCTTTACACCGTTAAAATTTCTTGAGGATTCCAAAGAGCTTTTGTTGTCTATTGGTATTTATCATATTAGAAATTAAAACTGATAGATTTTAAAATATTTATTGATTGATTTGAAGTAAACCCATTACATGTTCAGGTGTAACATTTTTATGAAAAATAATTATAAAACAAAAACTTAGCAGTAAGAGTAGCATTGTTTTCTGTCTTTGAAAATCTACTTAATGTTTCATTTCATAGTAGATGACTGGATTCTGGGTTCTCGTTCATTATGTTGTGATAACCCACCTCAATAGCCTCTAAAACTGCCCTGCGTACAGTCATGAGAGAACGAGAGTAGAAAGGCAAGTAACAACGCAGTATCGTGAACGTAGGTTTAATGTCATGAACCTCCTGGAAAGGTCTCAGGTTCCAGGGTTTCCAGACCACATTTTGAGAACCATTGCTCTAGTGGAGTTTGAAGTCAGAGGGACAAAAGTTGTGCACATTTTAAATTGAAAAGGCACTTTCAACTGCCTTCCAGAATACCAGTTTACACTCCCATCACCAACACGGGCCAGACCCTCTGCCCCGCTTCTTTACCAATGCTTAATAGTTTCAGAGTTTTAATTTGCCGTTCTTAATGGTTAAAATGGCATCTCATTGTTTTAGCTTGTAGTTCCGTATTCACACCAGAATTTCATGAGACACACATTTCTGGGCTCGCTGTGACACTTGGCGATGTCTAGTGACTGCCGCCTCCCTCCCCAGTGCCCACTCTTTGGCCTGGGACGTTTGATCCTAGAGAGACTGACAGGTCTCAACTTGTTTTCTTTGGCTTATGAAATACCCCTTCCTTCTGAAATCCATCTTAACTATTTTTTAATCAATTTTTTTAAGCTAAAGGGTTTTTTTTAAAAAAAAAAAACAAAAAAACCTTAGTTGTTTCACTTCTGAGCTCTCTGTTTCTTGTTTAGTCAACTAGCAAATATTATTTATTAGGAAATGTGAAATTGTCTGCCAGAAAAATCTTTCTTTTAAATGTTAACATCTGCTCTACATTTCATGATTTAATGTAAGGGTTCTTAAGTTTTCAAAAAGCATAGCCGTTGCCCTGTGGGAAAGTTATTTTTCGGAGAGAGACATTCTTATTTGGCTGTACCCTTGGTTGGTGAGATTTACATTTCCTCCCTGACAACACCAGATAGTTCATTTGCAGAAACCCTTTTAATAAGATAATATGTAGAAAGAAACCTGACACGTACTTGGTATTCAATAAATGTTGGTTGATGCTGAACTAGTGTAAATTAACCTTCTACAACATGAAGGTACTTTGCAAAATTGTGAGCCTCCAACAAAGCTGAGACAGAGGCCTCATGCTTCTCTCCAGCTGCCACTCAGATTCAGGTGCCATTTAGCGGGCTCTGGAGGCTCCGCTGGGATGACATTGGCTGATGCTAACTAGGACTTGCTGTCCCCAGTGTCCTTAGATAAGGGAGAGTCCAGAGGCCGATGATCTTGACATTCTTCTTAATAAGGCCTCATTCCTTTTCAATAAACATTCTAAGCCTTTATGTTCTCAGCGGATTTTCTTTGTTGCACACATTGACATGAATAATGGAACAGAAAAATGATGCCCTTTTAAGAACTGAAGGCACATTCTTAGGATACTTACTGCTTAACAGCAAGGAAGAGCTGCAAGGAGCATGTGTGGCCAGAAGGCAACTCGCCTTGGGATCAGTGTCCCCTGTAGCATTGGAGGGCATCGTTATCAGATGCACTCCAGTGCACTTCCGATGTGGGCACTAGAGCTCATGCCTGCCTGATGGTAATGATTCTTTTTCGTTTGTTGTCTACGTTCATTCATGTTCTCCTTCATCAGAAATGCGTGCATTGAGCATTCTGCTGTACGCTAGGGTCCCATCGTGAAGAAGGCAGACTTGGTCCTGGGAGCTCGTGGCCTCGTGGGGGAGACAGCTCCTCAGTCATTTCAGAACTCTGGCTGTGATCAGAGCTTTGGAACAAGTGCCATGGCGAGGAAGCCTCACCCAGATGGGGCCTTGGGGGTGGCTTGCTGAGGAAGCAGCACTCCAGCTGTGTCATCCCTAGCATTGTGAAGCCTCTTGGGGAAAAATGAAAATGCCTTCTTGGAGAATCTGAAAGAGAATCAGTGTTTCTGGAACCTCCTGAGTAGGGGGAAGAGTGAGTGGTATAAAGCGATTAGAGAGACGGTCAGGGGTCTGATCAAGGAGGGCTTTGTGGGATTTGGATTTTAGAGTTATCCAGTGAGCAGCTGTAGGGCTTCTAACTGTGAGTGACATGATCAAATACACATTTTAAAAATGTCACCCCAGATACTTCATGGAAGATGGATTAGATAGAACCAGAAGCGGATGTGGAAGATGAATGAGGAGCTATTTCAGTAAGTTTGGGCTTACTGACTTGTGTGAGCTTGGAGGATCGGCACTGTGTTACACAGTCATGCATCTGTGATGGTTAATACTGAAAAAAGATTAACATTTGAATCAGTGGGCTGGGAAAGGCAGACCCACCCTTAATCTGGGTGGGTACAATCTAATCAACTACCAGCAAGGCTAGAATATAGGCAGGCAGAAAAATGTGAAGAGAGATTGGCCAACCCTCCCCGCCTACATCTTTCTCCTGTGCTGGCTGCTTCCTGCCCTCAAACATCAGACTCCAAGTTCTTCAGTTTTGGAACTCAGACTGACTCTTTCCTCCTCAGCCTGCAGGCAGCCTGTTGTGGGACCTTGTGATCCTGTGAGTTAATAAACTTCCCTTTATACATGTATATCTATTCCATTAGTTCCGTCCCTTTAGAGAACCTTGACTAATAGAGCATTCTTTAACAATGGGATACATTCTGAGAAATGAGTCATCTTGCAATTTCATTGTTGTGCAAACACCAGAGCAAACACACAAACCTAGATGGCATAGTTTTGTTTTTAGACTGCAGACTTGTGAATACTGTAGGCAGTTGTAACACGATGGTAAGTATTTGTGTATCTGAACATACCTAAACATAGAAAATATTTTTACTCTAGTAAAAATATGGCATTACAATCTTACAGGACCACCATTTTATACACAGTCCCTCATTGACTGAAACACTGTTGTATGGTGCATGACTTGGTATCTTGGAATCCATCGTGGTACTTTGTTTCCTAAAAATTTATCAGGAGCCTTTACTAGGAGCTCCATAGGCATGCCCGGTTCCTCCCTCCTGTCCCAGGGATGCTGGAGCTGATTTGGGAGGGACCTGAGCTGGTCACATCAGTGAGTCTGCTCTGAGGCTTCATGACAGCTTTCCAAGCCAGGCCAGCCCAGTGTACGGTAAGGAGGAGGGCTGTGCCTGGCAGCCGTGGGTCAGGTCTGGTGTGGGTGCCTAGTCCTGGATGGGTCCTAGCAGTTGGCTTTCAGTACCTGGCAGAACAGGAAGTCCTGTCTGCTGAGGGCCTGTGACAAGTCCCTAGGGGCCTGGCCAGAGCTCTGGAGGTAGACAGCCAAAGCAGTAGGTGTCCCAAGGGGGAACACTACTGAGGCCCCACCGCACTCAGGCATTCACTCTTGGTGTCTTCCCCTGCTGTCCTTAGGACCAGCATTAACTAACAGCCACCGTATATTAGCCCCAGTCAATGAATGACCTTGTGGCTAGGTCCTTTAAGCATGATATTTTTCCCAGCACCAATCCTTCAAAATCGATTTTCATTTTTGAGAGACTGTGTGGAATAGTGATTAAGGCATGAGTTATAAAGCCAGACTTCCTGGGTTCCAGTTCTGGCACAGCACACATTCACTGTGAGACCTTGGACAAATTCTGGAATTTCTCAGTGCCTAGCCTCCTTGTCAGTAAATGGGGCAGTGATAGAATTCTCACCTATGTCACAGGGTGAGAATTAAATAAATTAGCACGTGAAGCACTGGAACGGTGTCTGGTATGTAGGAAGCACTCAGCTCAGGTTAGCTGCTAAACATCCCCTAATCCTGTTTTGACCCTTTGGCAGGTGAGGACCTGGGGCTGCTGGGGTTGGGGAATGTGTCTGGGGCACACAGAGTGGGGCTGGAGTGCATTGTTCTTTCCAGAGCCTGGGTTCTCAGGCACTGCTGTGTGCTCTCTGCCCCTTCCTGTCGTATATCTGAGGGAAACAGGACTGCATGGGGCAAGCTCACAGCCCAGCTCAGAAGCTGCTGGTTTGTCCTGGGTCTCCGGCTCTGCCGCCCTGGGATTATCTTCCCCATCCCTTGGATTCCTGCTGGGGAGGGTGCCTAGTCTGTTAAGTGCCACCACCAACCTCACCCTCGGTTCAGCATCGCAGCCTCAGCTGGTCATTTGGAACGTGGGCGTATGGATTATAGCACCACTGGGGACTTGAAAACGTAAAACACGGCTCCCCACCCTCACCTGCCAAACCCTCCTTGCCTTTACTCATAAATTTAAGTCTGGACTTACCAACCTGCCACCCCAGGATGTCCTTTATCTGACCCCAGCTTGACTGTGTGCTCTGGGCACAGTGGTCTGCTTCCTGTCCTAAATGGGCTGTCAGCTTTAAAGACTCAGTATTTGCTTGTGCTGTTTTCCTAGCCTGGGTTCCCTCCTCTCCTCCTTTGAATATGAGCATTTGTCATGGTTCAACCATTACCCTTATGTGAGTTGTTTTCATCTACAATAATTGGTGGTTTATATCCTTGACTGCCTCCACCAGACTGTAAGTCCTTGGAGGGCTGGGACCATGTCTTCTTTATCTTTGAATCCCTTGCGTTGCATGTGGTATCATGTTCATAGTAGGTCCCCAGTGAATGCTTTTTGGGTTAAGCTCCACACTGTTGAGCTGAGTGCCTTAGGGAGAATACCTGTGCTCTGTTGCCCCATGTAGAAATGGGAAGAATGGAGCCCTGGGGAAGGCGTGCTGCTGGCACGAAGGCCGTGTGGCATTAAATACCCAGCTCTGATGAAAAAGTGTGGGTGTCCCTTTTCTTTTTTGAGGTTCCTTGAAAAAGCATTTGCCATTCTAGCATCTGCATCTGTCATGGGTTTTTGTCATTTAGAATGCCCTTGTTTGCAAAGAGGTCTCATGACCAGTTGTCTACATAATAGTAACAGTCATTGTAAGTCCTTTTCATGTTGCCAGAGTCACTAATCTTTGATTCAGTACTGAATTTAAACACTCAAGGCCTTGTCCTACACAAAAGGATTTCTTTGTTGCAAGAACTACAAAACCCAGCTTTTAAAAGGCATCTTTGAAGGAGAGATGATGCAGAAGGACTTAATGAAGTTGGATCTAGTTTCAGGCTGTGTCCCCTTTAAATCTAAGATCCCGGTTATCCAAGGAGGCCTGCTTTCATGATGTGTTTGCTCTAGTATTTTAGACGAAAAGACAGATGGGTAAACAAATAAATATGAAATTCATGATAAGTGCACGGAAGAAAATAATAGAGGATGCGGCAAAGGAGCCCTCCATTCTTCTATCTCCAGTGCTTACTATGGTGCCTGACAAAGAAATAAAAATACTAGTTCCCATTTACTGAATTCTTACTGTGTGCTGGTACTATAGCAGACATTTTATTTAACCCTCATAGGAATTCTATGAGGTTTTACTAATGAGAAAACCTCAGAGAGGTTAAGTTGCTGGGAAGTAAAAGAGAAAACCGAATGTCTGTTCAATATAGTAGAATCTTTTTTAAAGCAACATTCAGGAATAAACACTCCAGAGAACTTCTGTTTATAGAAGACTTACCTAACTTTTCCCCTTTAAGCCAAAAGTCCCTTCTCCATATCTTTTTTTTTTTTTTTTTTTTCTGAGACCATGTCTAGTGTCTCTGTATATTGCCCAGACTGGAGTGTAGTGGTGTGAACACGGCTCGCCGCAGCCTTGACCTCTGGGGCTCAAGTGATCCTCCTGCCTCAGACTCCCATGTAGCTGGGACCACAGGCACACACCACCATGCCTAGCTAATTTTTAAATTTTTTGTAGAGACGGGGTCTCACTTTATTGCCCAGACTGGTCTCAAACTCCTGGCCTCAAGCAATCCTCCCTAAGTGCTGGGATTATAGGGGTGGCCCATGGTGCCCAGTCCCCCTCACCCATATCTAACTGGATTTCCACTTGTTTCATGCACATTAGGCCTTTGTGTCAGTGAAGACCAGCTGAAGAGTAATTTTGTTCTAACCTTTCTTCTGCTTGAAGAAGTCTATTAAAGCTGCCCCTTGACCTTAAATAGTCTGTTCCTTTAACATTTTTCTGAAGTCAATCCCTCTTCCTCCCCCTCCCCCATTTTTTTTCCATCATTCATTTCTTATAATGCAAAAACCAAGACCAAGCACATTTCCTCTAGGGAACATGTGACCAGTCTGGGATTGCTGCAAGGATTCACTTCCCAGCTCTCACATGTCACATTCCTGTTGTGACATTTTTGATGATGTCATTGATTCCTTCCATGGGTCCAGCTTCTGTCCCCACGAGGTGAACACTACACTGCCAGTCCCCTCCACCTTGCCAGCAGTCTTTCCAAATTCACACAGAGCAGCCTTAGGCGCTCTGGGTAGGGTTCTCACACTCCAGCCATTGACTGTAGGTGGCTAGTCTTGTCAGCTCTGTGGTTTTTAATGAACTTGGGCCCAGAGCTCAGGACCAGGTTTCTGGGGAGATTGGTGCTGGCCCTTTCTTGCTGCTGCTTGTGTTACGGGCTGGCCTTGCATTCCACAGTGCCCATCCTTCTCCACTCCACCCAGCCCCCATGGCCTGTCTGC